GCCAGATCCAATGATCTTGCCCTTCTGATTCCCTCCAAATTTCACATCACCTCCAGATCTAAGCTCCAGACTTTGGAACATAGACCTTTCTCCTGTCATGTGTCGCGAGCATCCAGAGTCCAGGTACCATGATTGGCGTCCTGACCTTGCTGCTAAGAACATCTGCAACATGAATTATTTTACTTTTAGGTACCCAGATCTTCTTGGGTCCTTTTGGGTTAGTTGTTCTGAAGGTTTGTCTAAACTTCTGTTTTTCAACATAAGGTTTATTCTGACTAGCCTTAGATTTAAACACATGATTGTTCTTTTCAGAACGAGTGTGTTCAATATCATTTAAGTGACCAAATTTAAAGTGGGAATATAAAGGAGTCTTCTTGATGATAATTTTATCAACAGGTTTTGGATTTAAATCCTTTCCAGAGGAAGATTTATATTCAATTCCTTTTCTGTTATTTCTGCTAACTCCATAGATCATAGAAGTCATTTTGCTTCTGTCTATGCTTTTAGCAAGGAACTTATGAAAGTTGTAGTCATATTTTTCCGAAATATTTTTGCATTCAGATTCAGTTTCAGAATCAGAGTCTTGTTGAGCTAATTCATAATCATTTTTCAATTTTAAGTTCTTTTCATTTAGCTCAGCTACTTCTGATTTGAGAATATTATTCTCAGATACAAGATTACTTTGACGCTTCTTGTATTTGAGCTTAATACTGTTATAGCTCTTCAGAACTTCTGATAACACTTTGATAAGTTCATCTTTAGCGAGTTTAGCCATTACCTCTTCAGCGTCAGAGTCAGATTCAGATCCTGAAATTCCTTCCTCCTGATCTTCTATGTCAGCCATCAATGCTACGTTAACACATTCCTCTTCTGACTCAGATTCAGATTCAGATGTATCTGAATCATCCCAGGTAGCCATTAGAACCTTCTTCTTCTTATCAGATTTTCTTTTAGGCTTTTCTTTCAACAACTTTGGACATTCATTTTTGTAATGCCCAGGTTCTTTACATTCATAGCAGACAACCTCCTTTTTGCCAGATCTTCTGTGTCCAGAAGATTCTTTTCTTTGGTCAGGCTTCCTGAAGTTTCTGAACTTCTTTCCTTTATGCTTCCAGAGTTTGTTTATTCTTCTGGACAACATGGATAGCTCATCTTCATTTTCAGATGAGGATTCTTCAGAGCTTTCCTCTATTACCTGCAAAGCTTTAGCAGATTTATTAGATTTTAAGGCAATTGATTTACCTTTCTTTTGAGGTTCATCTTCCTCAAGTTCAATTTCATGACTCCTTAGTGAACTGATTAGTTCCTCCAAGGAAATCTTGTTCAGATCTTTAGCCATTTTCAGCGCAGTCACCATAGGTCTCCATCTGGTAGGTAAGCTTCTGATGATCTTTTTCACATGATCAGCAGTAGAGTATCCTTTATCCAGAACCTTTAGTCCAGCTGTAAGTATTTGAAATCTGGAGAACATAGCTTCAACAGATTCAGCTTCTTCCATCTTGAAGGCTTCATACTTCTGGATTAGAACCAGAGCCTTTATTTCCTTGACTTGAGAGTTTCCCTCATGAGTCATTTTTAAGGACTCAAACATGTCAAATGCAGTTTTTCTATTTGTGATCTTTTCGTACTCAGTGTGAGATATTGCATTTAACAATATTGTTCTAGCCTTGTGGTGATTTCTAAATTCTTTCTTTTGGGCTTCTGTCATAGATTTTCTATCTACTTTCTTGCCATTCCCATCAATGGGATGAACATATCCATCTATGACCAAATCCCATAAATCAGCATCATAACCAAGGAAAAAACTTTCAATTTTGTCTTTCTAATAATCAAATTTCTCCCCATCAAACATTGGGGGTTTAGTGCTGATTCTGTCCCTTTCTTCATATTTGTTGTTAATGTTAGATATTGAAGTATCAACCATAGTAACAATCAAATATATATCAAAGTTTTTCTCACTGGATCTTTTCTGTCACTGTGAAGTGGTAGCACACACAGAACCGGAGCTCTGATGCCAACCGAAGGTGAGAAAATACTTAGAAGGGGGGTTGAATAAGTATGAAGATAAAAACTTAGAAGTAAAAACTCAAGTATTTTTATCTTGGTTCGTTGAACTCAACTACTCCAGTCCACCCTTTCTAGAGTGATTTGCCTTTCTCAATCAAGGACTTAATCCACTATTTAATCAACTGATTACAATAGTAAGCACTAAGAACAACTGTTCAAAGTCTTCTCAAGAACTACTGATCCTAACTGGATCTTCTTAAGGTTTTCTTACAATCAAATGTAATAACAAATACAAGTGTTAAAATGCTTCTAATAAAGCTTTATCACAACTGTGATTTTTCACTTAATATTAAGAACAAAGAAATAATTCTAGAAAGAATAAATGAGTTGTATGAGAGCTTTGATAATGAATTCTTTTCAAGTAATACGTCGACTAAAGAAGATGAGTGGAGACTTGCTTTTATAGGCACAGTGGTCCAAGAGTCTTTCACATTGAGAAGAGTGTACCAAAAGGTCTGAGCCTTTTTGTCTTCACATCAAGTGACCTTTCCTAGAAGAAGAAAGTACATAGAAATCCTTTTTGTCTGTGTTCTTATGTCTAGCATAAATAAGGAAAGAGTCGTTTGGATATTCCAACGGACATAATCTTTGAATTCTTCTTCAATAATTTTCAGCAAGAATCATCAGAGTCTAATTTGATCAGAGCCTTTTGATGTTCATTAGAGTTTTGCTGAATCAGAGTCTTTGCAGTAAGTGTGCTTTTAGCGTGTATAAGTTCAGAGCAGAGTTTTGGGTCAGATCCTCAGTACTGTCAATGTTAGTACTATCAGAGTCTTCTGAAGTAACTATGCTTGAAAACTCTTCATACATAATTCTTTATTGGTTCAGATGCTTATGACTTGCTTCAGATTCTTCTGGAGCTTCTGCTTCAGATCCTTCTGGAGACAACGCTCAGGATCTTCTGATGGCAGCGTTCAGAATCTTCTAATGGGTGCATCTGACGCTTCAGAGCCTTGCATATTTCTTATGTTCAGATCTGATTTGCTTCTTGAGTGATATTTACTTTAATATCTGCAGCAAACATTCTGAAGCAAATTTTAGAGTACATAATTCTTAACTACAAAATTTCATAATAGTTATCATCAAAACATAGAGATATTATTAAGAACCAATATGTGTTCTAACATTATTCACTACACATTTTCTTTGTACTTGCTCTCTCTATAGTTCCGTTACTCACTTAAGCATTTAAGCATATTGTAGGTACACTCTCTTTCTCCTCTACAACACCGATGAATGCGGCAACTCACGACGCGTGGCAGACTACTGATTTCTTTCTGATCAGGTGAGATCACCATGTATCAAACAAATACAAACAAATGCATAAATCAAACAGAAGCGGGTACCCATATATCATGAACAAACATAAGCATTCAAAAGAATTAAAGATGGAAGAGATCGAAATCATGGAGATGGAGATCGACGATAACTAAGCTTCTTTTATAATCAAATCCTAACCAACCTTTGTTTTAGTTTTAGTTTTGAAAATCTTAAAAACTAGCAATTTATTAATTCGAAAATCCCTAAATCTTTGAAGATTGAAGAGTCTTATATGGAGTCTTGGAAATCTCTAAAACAACGGTTAGTTTAGGATGATTCACCATGATTGTTTATTTAAGATGCAAAAAAATTGCTTTGTAATAAATTTTGACTTTTGTGAATAGAAAATTTTGATTTTCTATTTTTAAAACTATTTCTATTTATTATTATTATTATTATATGTCATTACTATTTTTTGTATATTAATTTATTATTTATTAATTATTATTAATTAATTAATATTAAATAAATAAATAAAATAAAAAATAACTTGTAAGCTGGCAGTGTACACATTACTCAAATTGTGCCACCAATTAATAATAATTACACATCACTTTTTTTTTGACAAAAAATAAAATAAAAGACCAAAACTATTTAAAAATAAAATAAAGAAATTGATTTTATAAATTTATTAAAATAAAGGGATTAAAACGGTAATTTAACCAATGTTTTAAAAGATATGTAATGTTAGAACATGCAAGTTTATGAATTTGATCAATAATAATAATATATTTTTTTAAATTTGTAAAATAACTATTAATGTTTAATCAAAATGCATTTTTATTTCAATTTTTTTCAAAAAATAACTTTACAATGCATCAATTAAAAGTGTTTAAATTTCTTTTTAATTAAATAATAAAAAGAAGAGAAAAAAACAGAGCCGAGAAAATTCATCATATATCCATTTTTTTAGATATTTAAATTTAGTTTTAATTATTTATTAAAAATCTTTAAAATTTATAAAAGAAGAAAAAAGTCTTTAATTAATTAATCTTTAAAATCTTTTACTTTTTTTAATTAATTAATTAACAAAAAGAAGAAAAAAGAACATAAAATTCACAATTCACATATCCATTTTTTCATATGTTTAAATTTCTTTTTAGTTATTTATTAAAAATCCTTAAAATTATTCGTTAAAAAAATAATTTAAGAACTTTAGATATTACAAGAAAAGTCAATGCAACAATTAAATGTGTTTAAATTTCTTTTTAAATAATTAATTAACAAAAAGAAAAAAAAATATAGAGCATAGAGAAAATTCACAATTCACATATCGGATGTTTAAATTCTTTTTAATTAATCAATTATATAATTAATCAATAAAATAAGAGAGAGAAAAAAAAAACAGAGCAGAAAATAGTTCGAAATTCAAATACTTTCTCCCTTCGATTTTTTGTATTAATATAATATTTTGATTTTAATTATTTTTCCTCCGATTTCTGCACCGATCACCTCTTGTTATGGTCCCAATATAACTTCGACCTCTCTCTCTCTCTCTCTCTCTCTCTCTCTCTCTCTCTCTCTCTCTCTCATATCAATCGATCCGTCGCCAAGTTCGCCGGAGATTCTGGCCCGGCCACCCCTCTCCGATGAACGCTTCTTAATACAACACCATGGCGGACCACGGGACCGCCACCGTGAATGACGGCGAACCAGAACCACAACATAAGGAATTCCAGAACAACAACAACGACGACGACAAGAAGAAAGATAAGAATTCAGATCCCGAGCATTTCTGCTGTCTACTTCAGCCTCTCACCCCCGACGCTGATCCTGAGTATATCGGCATTCGCCGCCTCCTCCTTCATCGGAAGGCCGAGGCTGGTGCTCTCCGCCGTAGGGTATGCTCCTTGTAGTTAACAAATTTTCTTCTTAGATTTTATTTTTCGAGATCAATTGTGCTAGATTTGCATTTTATTTTTCCATAAATTGATATCGTGATTCGTGCGCGTCCTTTGGTTATGTTATTACATTTTGAATTTGGATCATAAGCTTATTAGTTTGATTTGAAATTTTTTAGATAAGTAATGTTCAGTTGTTCATAACTCTCTTGATTTTGTTCATATTTTCTACAGTGGCCTTTTCAGATCAATCAATCATGTTAACCAATATTTATTATCTTATTTAATTACTTTGAATGCTGGATTTTTTTGTATAAAATAATTTATAGCAAGGATTAAATATGTTTATAAGGATCCTCTCAGCTCAAAGATTAGTTTCTGCAGTTGCAAGCTTACACAATTTCTACCGGAAAAAAATGTTTATAGGAACTAAAAACATATTTAACTTTTATATGCTATGATGATTGTGTTGAAGGATTGGAGATGCAATGGGAAAACGTACGTTGCATACCGGAATTACATAAGCAGGCCTAGGAACTGGGAAAGTTTACGCCCCCCGAGCCTTCAAACTACTCCAGGAAACAGGTGGCCGACTTTTTTTACTTGAAGTTATGACCAAATAAGAATATATGTTAAAATTTGCATCAGTTTTATAATGGCGACTCACTTATCAAAAGATATAGAATAAAGAATTAAAGGCATCTTCTAAAAATTAAAATTGACTTTAGTTTCTACATATTTTCATCACTTCAATTGCCAATAATTATGTCTTTAAACAGAATTTTATGTGTTGGGGTTTACTCTTTGATTTCAGCAAATTTTTTGTAACTACAACCACATTTTATGTGGATGCAGCTTTCTTATTTATGGTGCTAGTTTAAATTTATGTTTCCATACAATTCTGACATCAGGATAATTTACTGGTTGATTCATCAGTGGCCGATGGATTCCATCTGCAAGTCCACCCTCCCGTTGGTCTGAGGTGGACAGCTGGAGTTCTGGGAGGGTAAGTGATTCCTTATGGATTGTGTTGTAATATATTTATAGTTGTTGTAGTGTTTGAAACAAAACAATAGACTAATATATTTTTTGAGAGAACAATGTATTTATCTTAAATGAGTTGTAATTGTGGTATAGATTGTATTCATTAAACAGATCGACAGAGATTCTGTAAGCGGGGTTTATATCTTTTAAATCAAGCACACTGGTTACTATCAGTTGGTACCATAATAATTGATAGGGAGACCAGCCATTCGATTCAACCGGGAATAACCTAAGCATAATGTTCGATGTGCTTTGGCTGGGTTTGGTCATGCTGGCATCGAAGTACTACAGGCACCCTGATCCGTGAAATTAGGATGCTTAAGCCTATTTAGACGGGCTAAAAGATGAACTTAAAATATGAATTAGGCATAACCATATTAGTCAAGGATAATTAGGCTAGTCTGTCCAAAAGAATCAATCAAAATCAATACCAAGGAATTTGATAAAGTGGAAAGGGGGCGAACAATCAGTGTTAACTAGTTTTACACTGATGACCAATGTGAGTTAAGTATTCGGCAGTTGTTTTAGAAATACTATTACAAAGTGGCGAGCTTGTGTGGCAATATGTTAGATTTTAATTTGATGTCCGTGTAAAACTAATCTGTCCTGATAGTGCATCTCCATTAAACTCTTTGATAGAAGTGTTGGTACAAGTTTTATTATAAAAAATTCAAAGAATTTGGAGATATGCTACCGTGTTCTTTACTAATAATTGAATGTCAACTAAACCTGTGTTGGCTATGTTTAGTTAGATTTGATTAAGTTTCATCTAGTGCTTCTCTTTCTGAAATTGCAAATGCAAAAGTATAAGTTTTATTCAGAGTATTACATCCTAACATAATTATTGTGTTTTATTGCTACGGATTGTACCGTGCTAGTTTGGAATTTTGTTCAATTGCTTTTTTTAATTGGGGAGGTTTGTATATGCATGCTGTACATGCTTGTGTGAGAATACTATTTTTCTGTTTAGTTCGTATTAATTAGTTCAGTGATAGATTATATAGTTCAATTTCTTGATCATTTATTTTTGGTATTACATATCAAAATGTGTTTTTTTTCATAATAGGATGTCCAAGTTGCAAACTCATTATCCAATCATAGAGCAAGTTTTGGCTCTGGCTCAAATGCAAGTGATTCTGATCGTCCACGGCACCGCGGGGTTGAACCTGCCTATTCCTTTGTAGGAATGCATTGCATCTTTGACCAGTGCAAAGCCTCTGGTAGTATATATAGTCCAAACTATATCTCGTATGCTTTGTTTTCTGTGAACTAATTCTGAAAAGCTTGATGTGTAGTTACGGTGTTAAAGTTTGGGCACATGAGTTCTGACCTACTTGCATACGGGGCATCAGATGGAACCATGACTGTGTGCAGTGTTTCGGAGAAACCTTCAATCCTCAAACAATTAAGTGGCCATTCCAAAGATGTCACAGGTTGGATATATTGGCACTGGTTCCTTGGTCTTTATTTAATCTTGCACCACATACATGGCTGTGAATGCACAAAGGCAATATAATCTAATATACTAATTTTTAAAAGGTATTTTACACCAATAAATTTCTGGTACATATTTAAAATTTCCATTCTTTAATAAACAAAATGGCATATCAGACTCTGCACTATATTCTGTCTGGACTTGTCCTTTCTCTCTAATCCCTTAGACTTAACTAAATTTCTAAGTTTTAAACTTCAAAGTTATTTCAGATCTCAAATCCATTATTGATCCCCCACTTATTTTGTCAAAAAGTGATTTTAAGGGGTTTAGGTAAAAGAAAAATGACAGTAGGAGTAGGACCAGGTTTACTTAATTTTAAAGTAGAGGGACTCAATTGACTTGAAAAAGCTTGAAGGACCAAAATCACAGTCCAAACTAGAGTAACCAATCATTTTATTAAGTCATTTTTATATCCATTAAAATGTTGGTGCCAAATTACTGTAACTATTCTGTTGTTAGCGTTCAACTTTCTTTTATATACTCTGTTACATCAGCGATTTATTTTTATTCTGATTTACTTTCAGATTTCGATTTTACATCAAACAATCAGTACATTGCTTCCACTTCGTTGGATAAAACTGTGAGAGTATGGGAGATAGGTAAAGGCACTTGCATACGGGTGATATATGGAGTTTCTTCACAACTGTGCATCCGTTTCCACCCCGTGAGTACAAATTATGGTGATTGTGTGTGTAAATAGAATGACATTCTGACCTCTATTTGGAGGATAGTATTTTCATAATTAATAGTTGGAAAAAAGTACTCTTCTTATATTTGATCTTTGTTTATTTATATATTCTTTTATTTATTATTAGAGCAAATAGCAACAGTCTAAGTTGTGTTTCAATTTACTAGAATCCCACTGTCATGTGTATCTTCTCAATTCAACAAGTCATTCTCTTAAGAGTGGCGACAAAGTTGAGTTTCCTAAATTTTTTAGGGGGCTATGAATCTCTCGTACAGTTTGTGAAAGAAACAAACTTATTTTCAACCGGTAAAAATGATATGGCAAACCCAGAACTTTATCACTACGGTCCATATTAAAGTATTTGAGACATTGATACATTTTTGGATTATTTTGGATTGCTTGTGATTGAGGCTTTAATAAGTGAACACATGCTTGTCCAAAATATGATATAGATATAGTGAGGGGGCTGGGAAAGTCTAGTGTTTATAGTGTGCCCTTTTCTTCTCGTCACATCTGGTGAAACTTGGCTATTCATTTCTAAAAGAGGGCATGAGAGAGGGAGGGAAACTTGTCAATTTCAAATAATGGGAAAGAGAGAGAATAATTACTGAATATTTCTTCTCCATTACACTTGGTGTAACATAAAAATTCTTCGGTTACTTGTTTGATTTTCCCATAATGATGTAAATGTCCTTGGTATTTTGTCTAGGTGAATATATTTCCTTTTTGTTGCTACTAATGAAAATATTTTTCTGTGTTTGGCGCAGGTAAATAACAACTTCCTTTCCGTTGGTAATGCAAACAAAGAAATCAATGTAAGTATGTTACCTATTTCAATTTTTTCATTGAGAAGTAACATTTTGATGGCTCCCTTGCCTAAACTTTTTTGTTGGAATGTGTTGATTTTGGGTATTCCCTTATTTAATCAGTAAGAGCTAACATATTGTTAACATGGCATCTGTAAAACCTGAAGTGTTATTGAAGTAGTATTCCCATTTTCTTGTTTTTTTTTTTAACAATGTAACAGGTGTTCAATTTTAGCACTGGAAGGATAATCAACAAGGCCGTATTTGATGCTGAAGTTACCGCCATGGACCATGATCATACTGGTCATCTCATATTTTGTGGAGATGCGCAGGTGTGCTGCTCTATACATGCACAAGTATATATTGTAATCATTAAGTTTATCTCATTTTGTTTACTTACTGGATTCAATACGCAGGGATGTATATACTCTGTAAATATGAACTCCCACACAGGTATATTATCCCGCTCTCATCGTCATCGAAGTAGCGGCAAACACAAATCTCCGGTCACAACAGTGCAATATAGGAGTTTCTCTCTGCTGGCTCGAGGACCTGTGTTGTTGACTTGTACTCAGGATGGAAGTCTGTCTTTCTTCAGGTTCAAAAACAATTAGCCATTACTCCCATTTGCATTCTCTTATCCTAATTGAGCCCTTATGTTTCTTCAGAATACTAAATTTAGCATATTGCAGTGTGGCTTTAGAGATAAAAGGTTATTTAACGCTTCGTTGCTCGCTCAAGTTAACTCCTCGGATACACAAAATTCAAGCTTCTTTCTGCCCCCTTCTTTCTCTTGAAAAAGGAGAATTCATTGGTATGTTGATATCTCGATATCATTGAAAGCCATGTAGAGGGATTCACCGCATAGTTTTTCTGAAATTTCTTTGACTACAAGGACCTCACTGTTGCTGTATGTCTAACTTTCCTCTGTTATACACAGTTGCTGGAAGTGAGGACTCAAACGTCTACTTTTACGATCTTACAAAGCCAAAACATACATGTGTAAACAAGTTACAGGTCGGTCTTACCTCCATCGAAGGTAAAGTTACTATTGTTACAACGAAATACAAAATGACAAGAATTTTCATGATGCAGGGTCATCGGTTTCCTGTGATGGGGATTGCTTGGAACCAGGGAGAAAACTTTTTGGCTTCATCTGATTTTTACGGAGTAGTAATTGTTTGGAAGAGAGAAAGAACAAATCAGAACAAGAATACATAGCAATAGCAGTTTAAAAGCATACAGTTAAGTCAAGGGCCATTGAAGATAGCTAGTTTCCTTTACATTGCTTCTTTTTCTTTCGGTTTCGCCATTGTCCCTTTGTATCTTTTGTGCTATTATTTTTTATTTTTGCCACAATGTTCTTTTTGTATGTATTTTGAGGAAGAAAGATTATTCTTAGTGAATCGTGATTAGGGTTCTGTATACGAGTTCTGGGAGGTATATTTTGTTTTGACAAAGCTCACATTGTAATTTTATGCTATCAACGAATAAGGCTATGTGTAAAGCAGTCATGCAAATCCATTGTAGTTTGGCTGGTCAATGTAAGTGGAATTTCTGATTTTGTTTTAAATAAAATATTTAAATTCAATGTTTGTTGTAATAATATTCTGAATATTACAAATAAATAAATGAAAATTGAAAAATTTAGAAGACTTTTTTTTTATTTTTCTCTTCTATCTTCTCTTCTAGAAATCTTCACTTTTTCTTCCAAATTCAGAGTGCATCCCAGTCGCTACGATTTGAAAGCTATTTTAAGCTATTATCCAGACGCACTCTAGTCAATCATCAATGGTTTGTCTTTTTAGAATGTGAAAGATGTATTATATTTGCAATATATTTTTCAGACATCAAGTAACATAGTCTATAGTTTGAATGTTATTTTCTGAATTGTAATTTTTTACATGATCAATTTTGTAAACGCTCCACTTAAAGACCTTATATCATATTCTTTAAAACCCTTTAAAAAAGTTATTTTTTTATTTGATTATTGTGTTTAGTAATACAATTTGTATTTTGACGTCATAAATCTAATAATCGTTTTAAATCACAGGTAATATACATGTTTATTTTTTTTCATTGATTTATAATCTGATTTTTTTTCATGCATTGAGAAAGTTGTTCAAAAGATATCACCAGAAATCTTTTTTAAACTTCCTTCGGAAGTTAATCTTTGGATATGTGAAATGGTTGCTTAAATGATGTTCATTTTTGACGATTGTATGTATGGTGTATCTTGATCTTGTCAACCTAACTAATGCATGAGAGGGTGCGTGTCGTGAGTTTCCCAACCCAATGTTGTGTACGTTATTGTTGAAAAAAAATTTTAACATTTAAACATAAGTTCAGGTTACATGATCATATATTTAAATAAGTATATGTAGAAGTTGGTAAATTAGATTTTGAAAAAATATTTGAGAGATCTGATTTTGGTTCTAATAGAAGACCGACGTTTTTTATGTTCGATGTGAAAGAAGTGGTCAATATAAAAAACATACATGGAAATTGAAATGTAATGTCGGTAGAATAAGAAAATATGGATGTCCCTCTAAGTTCCGCAAATACAACATAATCATAGATGCATAAAAAAGAATGTATTAAATGTTTGGACATCTAAGACCAACTCCAATGGGAGTTCTTAGAGTGGGTTTGCCAACATGGCACTCATATTTGTTGTTTTCAAGATGAAAAAGTTCTTAAATATGCAACGGTTCTTCAATGGTTCTTATATTAAAATATTAATTTTATAATATAAAAACTATAATTTAATATAAAATTTTATTTACTATTTTAATTATTATTTTAATTAAAATTTAACATTTGAACATAAGTTCATGTTACATGATCATATATATAAATAAGTATGTGTAGAAGTTGGTAAATTAGATTTTGAAAAAATATTCGAGAGATCTGATTTTGGTTCTAATAGAAGACCGGCGTTTTTCATGTTCGATATGAAAGAAGTGGTCAATATAAAGAACATACATGGAAATTGAAATGTGATGTCGGCAGAATAAGAAAATACGGATGTCTCTCTTAAGTTCTGCAAATACAACATAATCATAGATGCATAAAAAAGAATGTATTAAATGTTTGGACATCTAATATGTTGTTTGGTGTGGATAATATGTATTAGTTTACAAATTAGTCGATCATCCTATTGTTAGACGTTTAGATTCAAGAAAATTATTGATGAGATGACAATGATCATGGTTCAACCTAAAAACATAGTCACAATTTTGAAACATAAAAGACCCGACATTGTCTCAAGTATTAAGCAAGTTTATGAAGTTCGACACAAAAACAATATGGCGATAAGGGACTCAAGATTTAAGATGTAACAATTGTTGAAACTGTTGAATAAACTTCATCATATTTTTAGATATATAGTACGTGAAGGTGAAAAACATATTCAAGATATATTTTGGATGCATTCTGAATTTATCAAATTGTTTAACACATTTCTTATTATATTGATAAATTAATATATAAGACCAACAAGAAATTGTTAATGTTACTTCAACAAAGATGACGTATTCAATTGGTTTTGTTTTTTTATAATGTGAAAAAGAATATAATGTTATTTGGTCTCTAGAAATGTGTACGAAGAATGTTGAAAGAGTTAGAATATTGAAAGACTATAAAAATATGTCATAGGTGATTGTCACTAATCGCAATATTTCACTGATGAATGTAATTGCAAAAATATTTTCTACATTATATGTTTTACTTTATCGATATCTCATAACAAAAAATGTAAAATGTAAAATTAAGGGAATATTGGAAAATAAACAAATCAATTCCTATATATATGAGTCATATTGGAATCCAAAATGGAAGCATGAAATGTTGTAATCAATTCTTATACATAAAGAAGAATGGCCATATATTTCACAATAAAAGCATTTAGGTGTAATTTGATTAAAGATCCTATTTCGGAGACAAAATTTTCTAAATGAGTTAGCATTCGTTTCAGATTGATAGTGCGGATCTATGTGATTGGAAGCATAAATCATCAGTTGGTTTTGATGATGACAACTAATGAAGAAGTCTTGAAGATAACAATTTCATAAGTCATATGGATTTTGATGTTAAGACCTATTTGTGATAAGGGAAGCTGATTTCTATTGTTAAGTAAAACTTCTGATGATGACATATGATCAAGAAGATATCTCAAATCTCATCAGTCATAGAATTCAATTTCCAGTTAAAGGGCTAAATGATCATTGTATCAAGTAAGGAAACTGAAAATTTAAAATTGTGAAAGTGTGAAAGCTCGCTTGATCTTGTGTTTAACGTCTTAGAGTGATCAATTAAAATGTAAAAGGTCAAGAGTAAGTCTTGAAGTACTGAGACAATCATACACACACGAAAACGTTTTTCAAAATTCTCTCTTATTTTATAAAACTTATTGAAAACCTATACATGCTTATATGGAATTGATTGAGAAACATTATGAATTGAGAACATTTATACATTGCCTAGTCGATTTGAGTAAGGTAAGTAACCTCTTAATCAATTATTTTTTAATTGATTAAACCATGTAGCCATTTTAGGTTTTCTTTTTTGAATTAGGATTGTCGTATTTTGAAAACTCTTAATCTATTATCAGCTAAGATTTTTTGATTAATTCATTAAAATGACTCATGAATCATTTTCTTTTTGAGCAAAATATTTTCTTATATAAAGGAGGATTCTCCTCATTTTATTTTACACCGAATTTTTGAATATAAATCCTTCTATCATTCTTTTACTCTCTCTATTTTCATATTTCCTTTTCATGAAAATTCCACAGTGGTAAAAGATCGAAAAGCCCTTGTGAAGGTTTCGTTGTAATAAGTGTTCTGTTTTATTTGATTTATTTAATAGTGTGATTCTCTTGTGAATTGTATTTGTAAAGGACTTAAAGGTTGCAAGTTAAATTTGAAAAACGTTTGGGGTGAAGGTTTTTGAGTTTAACCTATGTTAAAATCTTTATTTGATTGTTAAAGGTACGTGCGTTAATCCTGATAAGTCCAAGCTTTTGAGGTTGACATCAATTTGGTAAAACTAACTTGACAGCTAGATGTTGGACAAGATGTCATAACATGAAGAACTAACTGAAGATCATGATGTTAGACGAGATGTCCTATCATGATGATTAAACATCTTTGTCTGTTACTTTTCAGTTTTTGATTATGTTTTTTTACTTCCAGATTTGAGATTATTCTGCGAATATTTGTTTATCCTAAGTGGTGTTCAAGATTAAGGAATCAGAGATTATGTAGGAATCTTAAGATGTCGTTTTCTAAGTGCGAAGTCAATTTAGGAAACTTTGGATTGAAGAAACTATTCTTTTGGAGAGTAAGTTGCAGATTCTTTGTAACCGATTTACTGCATTTTTGAAGTCCAAATCCAGTCTAGTTTATGGTTATAAATAGGATGGATTTAACCTAAGAAAAGTGTGGAAAAATACTTTGTTGCTTAGTGTGTTTAGGGTTTGTATTTTGTGAGCCTCTCTTGTGTCGTGTTGATACTTGAGCTGGACTGTTTACATTGAGTTGTAATTTCTGTCACTGTTGTGATTGAAATGGAATTGAGAAGGGTCTCATACCTAGGAAGAGTCTTAGATAGAAATTAAGCACGGGTAGTGATTAAGTGATAAGTTGTAAGCCAGAGGTTGTTTAGCTTAGAATTAATACTATCTAGTGGATTTCATTCTTGGCTTGGTAGCCCCCAGACGTAGGTGTTGTTGTTCACCGAGTTGGGTTAACAATTACTGTGTGTTTGTTTACTTTATGTAAGTTTCTATTGTGTTGCTTCTTGTCATTGTTCTTAGCAGAGATCAAGTGTTCTGACATCTCTTGGGACATCTGAGATCTGTATACCAGAATTTTAAATCCTATAAAAGCTCAAATATGATCTTAGTCTTGATAAGTTTTTACGCTTTTCTCACTGCAAGACTCCAAAAAAATGCGGGACACCCTTAAAGTTACCTACGAAGGAACATCTGAGATAAAAATGGCTAGAGTGAACATTGTTGGGGTATGAGGAGGAACATCAATATTGGGGCAAGAGTAACATAAGTGAGAGAGACACCACATATTCACCCAAAACCTTAAGGTGATAGGTGTATGGATTCTCCCACTTATAAATACTCAACTCTCCATATTTATAACCAATGTGGGACTCTGACTCACACTTGATATATTATTCACAATGTCCCCCTCAAGTGTGAGTCC